CAAATGTGCGCATGCGCATAGCTAGCCGTGTCAACTTCAGTGACCTCCTGCGTAACAAGGGTCACCAATGCCTTTATAAACAATGGCGACCCCGACTTTGTTTCGCCCTTGGTTTGGGCGATGTTTTTTTTTCGATTTAAACAAGAATATGAGAAACCACTGTCGTGTTTCATTGGTTCAAGCATCAACGACGGTAAAGGCATCGGAAAATCATGATCATAAACAACTGAAACCCTTTAAAGAAATCCCAGGTGAAGGCTCATCCAGTTTTGTATCAGGTGTTCTTTATGCGGTGAAAGGATGGCGTTCTGGCAGTGCATCTCGTCAACCATGGCCAGCTTATGATAAATGGGAAAACAAATATGGGACATTATACAAGAGAGTGTTTGGAAAAACCGTTTCAGTATTTATCACGGATGCCAATGACATAGAGAAGGTTTTTCGAAGTGGCGGGTCGACGCCAATACGATTTGAGCACACGTTTTTCGACATTCTTAGTGCATGGCGATTTTATAAACAAACTAAAGGATTGCCCCTTGGAACGTTGACAGCGTGAGTAGATTTCGTATTAAAGGGCGGTCGTCGTCGCGCCACGCATGCGCGAGATATATGGGTCTCATATAAACAAACATGGCGACTTGGACTGTTGCGCAAATCAACGAGTACAAACTGAGACGTTACCAAGCTTTAAATAGGTATTTTTTAGGTGATTGGAAGGTATCGAAGAGTCACAGGTGATAATTAGTGCAAGTCCTGCCCAGTTCAAACCTCATACTTATGATTTCCATTAGAAGGGCGCATTGGATTGTGGGAAAATCAATGTTTATCAACACAAATGTCGCACATGTGCAGCGTGACGACCATCGCACTTTAGGTTATAGATTGACAATACTGGTAAACACTGTATTTGATCAAGGCCACTGCAGCATAAAGCGGGATATTGTATATACTTTGTCGAACGGAGCTTATCATATGTGTGATTATCCGTCGTTCATGTCAACTTTTTACTTTTTCAACTTCTTCTTGACAACTTCAATTCTTATTGCTTTGATATTAGATGTATATGTACCTTGGACAGACCTCTCTAAGATTTGTTCATTTCGTGATGATATCTTTAATTCTCTAATTTTGATAAAAAGTGATATTTTCGACTTCTTGTTAAAAAACGGAAGTCTGATTGCTTTGATATTATACATATATGGTATGTACCTCAGGTAGACCTCTCTCAGATTTATTCATTTTCCAATGATATGTGCATTGCTAACAGTGGATCTATCTCAGCCGAGAGGCTGCTTGTTTCATTATGTGATAATTAAATTATTGAAATATGAAACAAACTTCATTACTATTTTGGTGGTGATATTTACACCAGGATTTTATGCAATGTGATGACCTGGGGTGTTTTTCTGTTCACAACAGCTATTGATCTACACATGAAATGACGCATAACGCGCAAACTGAAAGTTTATTTGAAGACTAAATGGCATTTGCAGTCATTACGAAAACAACTTATATCACATAATACAAAAGGGCATACAGATGAACATTAAGGTGGAGATGCAGGTTCATGGGCACTTGGAGACATTTTTTTTTTTTATTTGCTTTTTCTTACCAGACAGTCTTGCATGGTTAGATAGTGTTAAAATTTCGGAGCTCTGTCAAAAGTGGAACATGATAAAAAAATGATTTTAAAATATAGGAAACCCAGGTACGCGTATGTGATTAAAAGTTTGTTTACATCTGACTGTTGATGATATATGCAAATGAGTTGCTGGCCTCGTACAATTTATGATTTCCTCCTGCACTGCATGGTTCCCTGTTTACTTACCTCAAACGCTATCTACTAGCCTAGTAGATCACAGTATGCTGCGGTTGCTATAATCGATACCTGTCAAAATACACAAAAGATTAATTAAAAATACCCTGGAAATTACATCAAAATCGGCAACAAGATGTGTGATGACCAGAATGGCTGCCATTTTAATGTTAAAAATCAAGCATTTCTACCATTCCAGACCCTGCACCATACTGTAGCAATTGTTCAAACTTCATGCATGACAGCATTCAAATTACCCGATAATATTAATAATAATGATTTAAAAATAATAATTTAACTAAATAATTAGTGGTGTCTAAGCAGAAGTGGATTAGTGTATGACCTGTTAATGACTATGTGGATGGTATGCATTTGAAGTCTGACAAACAAAGACGATAAATTTTGGCCACTGTAGCACAAATGCCCAAAATTGTCATTTTCACAGGGATTTCAAGATGGTGGCTATATCACATGACTGATCACAGTCATCAGAAGTTAAATCAGTCATGAGAAACAAAAGAACAAAGTTTTTGCTATTTGTACTGGAAATTCAATGTTACTGATTCTTATTTAGCTGTCTAATAGAGAGAGAGATACGACACAAGAATTTTCAAAATAATCTGGTAACTCAGTAAATAAACCCCTTTCCTGTTTATAGAATAAATTAGAAATGGCGACCAAACCACATTACCGACCATAAAAGATTTTAATATGCTTTACACGTAGATGCCGGAAACCAAATTTCAGATCAATGTGTACAGTGATTCTGGAAAAGAAGATTTTCAAGTATTTTTTGTCATTTTTCAAAAAAAAAAAAATGGTGGAAAAAGTTACCTGACTGCTAAGGTTTTTATTGCTTATATGTATTATAAATATGTTGTAGTACATGCCATAAAAAAATTGAGATCGCCAAATAGCCACTTCTGGTTTAATTTTAATCCAAAATGGCTGCAAAATCAGTGGACCAATCAAAACTTTGAAAGTCAGGTGCTCCAATTCACACAAGCAACCATTAGCATGGAAAGTTAGAGAAGATTCTGCCCAGCATTTTTACAAGCTAATGAAAAATGACAAAAAAGAGAAGAACTGGAAGAAAATGTGAACAATAACAATAGGGGCCCAAGCCCTGCTGGCTTGGACTCCAAATAATAATATTTTTCATATCAGATCCAGAAAAAATAATTTTATATTTTAATGATCGCTGTTCTAGAGCCATATCTCTGGCTTGCTTTTAATGATTGCAATCAAACTACTGATGCATTACACATCAAATATATCATGTATTTGTTTGAAGTTGTGATTCAAAATGGCATAGAGGCTATATGAAAATGTCAGAATCAAGAGAAATTACATTTTGGTTGTAATTTTTGAAATCAATTCTTGATGTAATATTGGTACTGAACTTCGACTCCTTATATTCCACTATGAATCAGTTTTATACCATAGTAAGAAAAATGCCATGCTTAGAAAAGTTTTAGATGCGAGAATGTCCTTCTTGTTAAGGTATAAATGCAGGTTCGTGGGCACTCAGGAGTGACATTTTTTTTTTTTTGCTTTTTCTTACCCAGACAGTCTTTGCTAGATAGTGTTAGAATTTCGGAGCATTGTCAATGCTGGAACATACTCAAAAATCAATTTTAAAATATAGAAAACTGAGGCACGCGTATGTGATTAAAAGTCCCGAAAGTTTGTTTACGTTGCTCTTTGATTGACAAGTCACTGTTGATGTTATATGCAAATGAGTTGCTGGCCTCAGTTACGGTGCGGCGGTGTGTGACTTCCTGTCCTCGACCCTGTTTACTTACCTCAAGCACTATCAACTAGCCTCGCAAACTACAAAGAAAAAAAACACAGAGAAGACGTAGATGCTTCCAGCTTCCAGGTTGGCCTTTATCAATCAACATAACAAAAGTGAGTTAGAAGGTATACCCGGTACATTAGTGTGTTGGAGGGGCCATTATCAAATATATTTGTTCATTTTTCAGTTTCTCATGCAGTCACATGAACATCACACATTTTCTTTGTTTTATTTGATAGTGATGTTGATTTTTGGCATCGCCAACGAAAACAATTAAGTAGGAAGATGCTACGCCCAAAGGAAGTTGCCAATTATACAGATGAAGCCAATGCGATTGTCACAGAATTCATGCAAGCCTTGTATCAGAAAAGAAATAAGAGGAACTTTGTTGACAAATTTGAGGATTTGACCTTTTTGTGGTCATTAGAATGTAAGTTTGTACATTTTTTTTCCAATGTTTATAAGTTATAGTGATTGCCGTGTCTGTATAGTCATTTTCAGAATTTCTTGTGGCCAGGATCACTCAAGTAATTGGTTTGGTATGTGTCTGTCTGTCTGCTTGTCTGTGTAAACAAAATCTCAAAAACAGATTTTAATCAAATTAGGTACATCGGTAGTCTTATACAGCTCAAACGCTTGTTGAGACTTCTATTTTTTTTCTCTGGTAAACTAGTGTTTTTGTCGTCGGGCGATACTGCAATGCATGACCCAATATGTATTTGTAAATGCTTTCCCAGGAATGTTTTAGACTGACGTTGTCTTGCTATTTTTAAGAAGACTTCGTCATAGTTAAAAACATATTCTTTAAACATTGTGTAATGTGCTGATACAGACCATATATTTCTATAATATACTCACTTTTTGCACAATACCTAGATCAAATAAATAAAATTTCTGAGCAAATTAAACAGTAAAGTTCTATTAATAACACCCACTATATCCTATCAGCTAGCTATCCACGTCGAGTAATTTTGCTTGTTAAATTTGCACAAAGGGGAAGGTTGAAGTCGTTTCACTATATTTGTTTCAAAATTTTAAATATTGCATTAATTCAATCACATTTGGTAGGAAATGTCATCGTTTGATTTGACAACTCTGAGCAACCAATTAAATGATTATTATGACATATTATGTCCTGTAGTTATCATTACGGTGCTGTTCAGCAAAAAGCTGCATTTACTAACTGGTACAGTTGATCCCGATGCCAAAAAAGTTATCGATGGAGTTGACGATATTTTCAAGACGACTGCAGAATTATTTAAATTCCTCGTAAAATACCATGCAATGGTGAACACCAAAGTGTGGCAAATACACTCAAATGCCTGGGATGCTATTTTTGATTTTGGTGGGTATATTCTTTTTAATTATCTTGGTATTGTTTACATTTTTGTTTTGATTTTTCTCCTGTTATGTACATGTAGATGTAATGAGTGGGTATAGAGATCAATTCAAAATGATTGCAGTAAATATTATGAGAACCATATATTTACATGCAGGTACCCTTGCTGTCCATCCCCCTGGGGTTGTGAGTCTATCTGCAGACTCCCGCCAGGGGGACGCCAGCCATGACGCCCGCCTGTACAGTCTCTGCTGGTGGGAAGGTTGTGACCAGGTACCACGCGCTCAGCGTCATGATGCAATTCACAGGCGAGTCGCATCATGGAGCTGTTCGCTGCGACGCCTGCGTCCGCAATTCGCTCCCCCTTCCACTTTTGCCAAAACCTTGTGTCTTGTGTCATTTATTGAAGCATTAATAGTATGATTATGAATATAATTTATAATCTGTGTTAGTGCACAATTATGACATGCATTAACCAAGCTGGCATCCCCCTTTCATATTTTCATAGCTCCCATCATGTACCACATTGTGCTTCATGCAATATTTGCTCACATTTCGTCCTTCAGTTGAATTTGCATTAACACCAGACTGTTCATTTGCTTATCTGTGCTTGCGTCCTCCTTCAAGCATCAGTTCGTTTTGCCGCACCATACGATACACATCGTTTCAACAGACCTCCCACTCACCCGTTCACGCACAGGTCTCCATATAACACTTTCTAAACAATTGCCGATCTCACTCAAGTATAACTCATGTTTATCTGCATGTATGAAACTCATCGCCCTCATATGTCTATGTATCTGATAAATAATGTATAACTCACACACAAACATTTGTCTCACCAAAGAGAAAAAGATAATATCGGAAAAGGAAGAAGAATTAAAACTTGCTGTGGAGAGAGGAGATGAAATGGAGTCTGTTGATATAGACTTAATTACACAACTCCTGACAAACAACAATCTTTCAAAAGAAGAAATCTACTCAGTGTTGTCAGAAGTGCTGCTTGGTAGTATAGACACGGTGAGTTTATATGGTCTACTGAATAATGTCAAAAATGGTATGTATTAGTATAGGCACAGTAAGTTTATATTGTCTACTCAGTAATGACAGAAGTTCCATGCATTAGTATAGTATAGTATTAGCATTACGTAATCAGTGAAATTGAATCAAATATAACTGGTACTGAAAACATGATCAAAGCAACATAAAAAGCGAGTACCACAAAGCGAATATAGTTCAATGTTGGTGAAAGTAAGCATTCATTAGCTTTAAAAATAGCAAGGTACAGCATGTAGCGGCGATGGCATCATGACATCTACGAATAACAAATTAATTGGTAGAAACTGAACGGAAATAATTAGAATCATAATGTACAAATACTGAAAGGCTGAATTACAACTATTAATTATAAAAGCGGAAATAAAGCAGTTTCTGAATGGCCCTAGTGTAACACCAACCTGACTTGCAAGTAGGAGATTTTTCTGACAACGTGACACAGATCAAACACCTCTGGCCGTATAACATTGCAGGCGGATTGAAAATAGAACAAGGATGGACAACTCAGTTCTATATGAGTGTACAAGGTATTATTCTCTCTAGTTTCAGTATGCTCATTCCATTTTTTTTTAGTATTGTATAAATAATAATAAAATTAAAGTGGTGTCCCAAACAGATAGTCACATCCTTCTTTGGTGTTAAAATAATTCTGATGCTAAACACTGTTGCACTTTAGCTACCGGTACTTCTTTTGGCTTTGTGAACATAGAAATTAGGTAGTCAGCAAATCCTTCAGGTGGTTGTCTATCTCACTGTCGATAACGTTGATTCAGAGTGCTAGCATGATGCAATACTTGCTGGCATAGATGAGACCTTGAGTTGAGTTAGTGTTAGTAGCGTCTGGCTAACTCAGAATTCAACATCTCCAGTGGGTTTATCCCTGTGGTTACTAATTAGCTCATCTATGTCTGGGGTTCGTTCCTGGAAGTTAGGTTGTCTTCTTTTGTTGTCTATGTGGAGTATCTGAATTCCTAGGTAGGAATGTACAAATTTTAAGCATATTAAGATGTAAGGTTTACTCTTTGCAACTATAGTTCCTGACTGTACATTGTATACAGGTGAATCTGGTTTCAGTTGTTAGTTCCCGTTCGGACGTAGTCCAAAAACGGGGACTTATGGTTTGCCCTATGTGCGTCCGTGCGTTTGTGATCACCTGTATACAATGTAAGTTCAAACTTCACTCATACATCACACATTATATGGGACATATGCACATGCATTTTTTTCATGATCCGATTAACGATAGCCGAATAGCCGCCATTTTAAGGCCGAAAATGCATCAAAATCGCACATTTTCACCATTCCGGAACCAGATCTCAGTTATGCATGGACGGATTTTGTTCAAATTTGGTACATACATTAAACATAGTAGGACCTTAATGCACGTCATTTTGGGGGGGGCGATCGGGTTTGAAATGGCCGACTGGAGGCCATTTTGTTTTAAAGAATTCAGTTCTGGATTCGTATCTGAGACATGCCTGGATTGATCGTCTTCAAACTTCACACACACAAGGTACATCATGTCACAAATATGTATGTGCATTTGTTTCATGTTCTCATTAACGATAGCCAAAGCATTGAAATGCAACGCATTGAAACTGCACATTTTCACCATTCCGGACCCGGATCTCAGTTATGCATAGACAGATTTTGTTCAAATTTGGTACAAACATTAAACATAATAGGACCTTGATGCACGTCATTTTTTTTTTCCGGATCTAGTTCGAAATGGCCGACTGGCGGCCATTTTGTTTTATTAAAAATTCAGTTCTGGATCCGTATTCGAGACATGTCTGGATTGATCAAGTTCAAACTTCAGACACACATGGTACATCATGTCACAAATAGATATGTGCATTTGTTTCATGATCCGCTTAACAATAGCTGAATGATGGCCATTTTAAGGCCGAAAATGCATCAAAATCACGTATTTTCACAATTCCAGAACCGGATCTCAGTCATGCATGCATGGATTTTGTTCAGATTTAGTACAATGTGTTGTACATATGCAGGTGCATTTCGGATCAGACCACTTTCAGTGGTCTGAGATTTTGGTCATGATCTGCTTTGAATGTATATGTCACTCAAATATGAACGGAACGGGGACGTGTCATTGACAATGACTTGTTTTAAATAAATTGAATTTGACTATTTAGTTAGTTAGTTTATTATAAAATTACTTATTTAGTTACTATTTATTTGTGTATATAATATTTATGTTATCATTTATTTATTTATATATATATATTTTTTACCTTGGACAATACTTATTAAAACATTATACCTCTTTTGTCGCCCTTGTGTTCAATTCATTTAAGATTAGTTACTCAAACTCTGGGAAGCAGGCTCGACTAGCTTCACTATAGCTTTTTCTGCTTCCAGCCATATTATACATATTTACTTAGACTTTTGTTCGTTTACTTATTTATTTATTTGTTTGTTTGTTTGCTTGCTTACTTGCTTGTTTACTTGCTTACTTATTTACTTACTTCCTACTGTAACTTTTTTCACGGTGTATAATATGGAAAATAATTAACAACAACAACAATTAAATATGAATCAGATTACCATTTGTCACCAAGCTTGTGCTTGCCAGTTTGCAGTTTGTGTTAGTTTAGCTAACACATGGTCTCCTGTGTTATATGGTTCAGTCATAGCTTTCTTGTTGTATCTGGCTTTCTGCCAATCTCTTGCCTTGATTTCATGCTCTGTTGCTACTTTGTAGATGATTTTTAGTCTTTCTTGCAGAGATTTGACATAATCTGATGGATCTACTCCCTCACTAGCATTGTCAGTGTTGAATATCAGGTCTACAGTAATTAAGGTTTGGGTGACGACCATTCATTTGTATGCAATGAGTCATAGCTTCAACATACTCTTTCCAATCTGTTTTATGTGATGGATCTAATGTGCCTACCACATGTTCATGAGAGTTTGATTGTATCTTTCTGCCATGCAATTCATGTCTGGATGAATCTGGTGTGGTATGGGTTTTGGACATCTTCGTCACAAAGATTCTTGACAGCATTTTAGCTGCTGTTTTAGCTTTCTGATCCGGTGTTCAGTGGGCTTGTGCATATCTCGAATAGTGATCAGTTAGAACTAATACATTCTCGATACTGCCTTTAAATGGCTCTAAATTTAAAAAAATCCATACACAACAGCTCTAAAGTGCGGATACTCACAAGTGGTGCTCTGTCTGCTGTTGTTGCAGCCTTACGCAAACAGCATCATTTATACTCTCCACATCACACTTTTACTTGTGTGAACATCTGTGGCCAATAAAATACTATGGATTAGATCCAGTGTCCTCTCAAAACAAATGAGATTATGTTAATCTCTCATTGGTACTGGACCATCCATTGTCAGCAAATCGTATGGGTTAACATGTTCCTTAATGATACTATTCAATCAGTCACATGTTATGAAATATATTACAGTTGACCACAGACTGGCTCCAATAACAATACAGTTAAACTTCGTACAAATTGCCTGTCCTGCACAAATAATTCTAGATCCTGGTCTCGGCACCAAACAATGTGACATGGATTAAATTTCCAGCATAAATTGGGAGTTTCAGCAAAATAATTGATATTAGATCCTCGACTGTGCTTTTATTGACTGAGTTGCACGACTGAGGTCTATGCCATTGAGAAAGAACAGGAATACACAAGAGGTTCACATGAAATAATATCAAGACAAAATAAGCATCGATAATACAATGTTTGTAGGAGTCAAATGTGTGTTGTCATAACAACCATTGATAACGTCTGCAAAAAGAAAATGTTTTATAGTTTTTAGCTCTGCGGGCGACAAAGTCGTTGTCAACATTACAATTTCAACTTCTTCTTCGAAACCACAAGTCAGAATGTTTTCAAATTTGATATGCAAGTATTTTGGATGATGGTTCTTTCTCAGATTTGTTCATTTCATGTCAAAATCTCAAATTCTCTATTTTTTGTGAATATTTTTGTCGTTTTTGGTAAAAAGTGATATTTTCGACTTCTTGTTAAAATCCACAAGTCCGATTACTTTGATATTACATATATAGGTACTGTATGTGGACCTCTCTCAGATTTGTTCATTTCGAGATGATATCTTTAATTCTCTAATTTTGATGAATATTTTTGTTTTTTTTGGTAAAAAGTGATATAAAGGTTGATTGCTTTGATACTATACCAATTGTTCATTTTCTAATGATATCTTCAGTTTTTATTAATTGCAATGTGCATTGCTAACAGCGGAGCTATCTCAGCCGACAGGCTGCTTGTTTTTTAAATATCTTATAAATTGCCATTAAAGACTTTCACATCGATCTTTAAATTAGGTTCAAATAGTTTGTGTTTTTTTGTAGACATCCAACACTCTACATTGGGCTCTTTACCTTGTTGCAAACAATCCATCAGTACAAGACAGACTTTATGAAGAAGTAAGCAGTGTGGTTCCAGAAGGTGAAGTGCCAAGCAACAAACATTTAAGTCAAATGCCATATATGAAAAGTGTTGTCAAGGAAACGCTAAGGTATGTTGTACAGCATTTAAATGTTGTATAATTTACATGCATTGTAAACTTCACGTGGGACCCATAACTTGAAAATGTTTG